ACTCAAAATCTCATTATCTGAGTCTAAATAGCCTTCTTCATTCTTCGCTTTAGTGAAAGGCTTGCATGTATATTTGTGTTTGATAAAAAATATGAAGAAAAAAGATTCATGTAGTCGATCCCACGTAGTGGGATAAAGGCTTGATGTTGTTATTGTTTGTTGTTGTAGAAATATCATATTTTTTTCCTCTGAATTACTTCCCAAGTGAGGAACAATTCTCTTCTTCTTGAATGGAGCATTGGTTAGTTTAACATGATTCCTCACTAGTTTTTTTCTTCTTGTTTGCTTTTTATCATCCTCCCTTTTAGGTTGCTTCACAGCACAGCCTTTGAGGATGATGTTGCAGCTATAGAAGACTGTGTTGACTTCAATTTCTTTGGAATGAAGTTCAAACAACTTGATAGTTTTGTGCTTCGTGTACATCAAAAGGTTGTATATCACCAACAATCCTAAACACTTCTTCATCCCTCACATACTTCAAGCACTACAACAAAGTAAATGGAACTATACCATTGTTCATAAAGCCATGGTTGGCCTAGAAGAGCTTTGAATGAAGTGTTAGAATCGACCACATAACATCTAGCTTTCGTATATAGCTGTAATACCCAAAATTATCGGGCATGAAAAATTGAAATGAATTAATTATATCTGAAAACTTATTTTAAAGTTTAAGGTTAAATTAATGTGAAATTAGTATTAACATTTAATTACCATTAGTTAAATAATAACTTTAATAATAAATTTTAAGGTTATATTAAATGAAATCAAGCAAAGCAAGATAAAACATCCCTTGGCTTCACCCCTTCACGTTAACATTAGGTAATTTAAGCATTCTCTTTATTCTGAAGAGAATTCCAAAGAGATACCTGCTATAGGCAGTAAAGCATGACAGTTATGTGAGTGGGACCATTTATTGTCAGGAAAGGAAATATTGGGAAGCATCGTTTGAGGGAATTACATGATTAACCGAAGGAATTGAGTGCAGATTCCAGTAGATAACTTCGGCACAGTGCCTGCGGGACTGTAGAGGTCTTCGACACAATGGGAATTCGGCACGGAGGGATTTCTCCAGGCGGCACAGTGCATTGCATGCGGGATTGAAATAGTGTTATGCAGTAGGAATTCTTCACCGGAAGAATTCGGCTGGAGAAATTCAAGATTATTTAGAAGAGAAATTTCCTATACAGTGAATGGGAAGAGTTCGTCTGAAAGGATTTGGTGACAGTAAAAGAAATCAGCAAATATATTCTGTGAGACATTAAACAGGGGAGGGAATAAGCAAAAGAAAGAAGAAGAGAAATTGAGGCAAGAAGGATAAGAAAGAAAATTCTGAAAGGAGAAAACAGGTTTTATTGGTCTTATGCAAAGAGAAAGTTTTGAGGTGATATACAATCGTAGAAGGGTGTGGAGTAGAGAATTGGAAGAGGCGACTGGCCAAGGAGGTAAGTGATGCAAGCATTTTTAAGAAATATATACCTTATCATTAGATATGTACAATACTTATAATAGCACTTAGAAAAGTAGTCATGAAAGTAGATGATTTGATATTATGCATGTTTGATCAACCTTTTGTAAAAGGCCTAGAAAAGAATATACTTACAAGTTTTCAAATATGATTTTTATGTTCATTTAAATATTTTCCTTATTGATAATGTTTTGGAAAGAGATCTTTTTCTTTACTTATTATGTACGTATTCATGTTATACAATGAATGAATATGAAAGCTTGCATCAAGTCTAGTATGGATAATGAATATGAAAGGTATACTGAATATCAATTTAAAAGTAAAGTTTGACTAAAGATTTATGTATAACTTACCAATATATGTGGGGCAAAAGAATCCCCATATATTAAACTGTTTGGTAAGTGGGGCAAAAGGGTCCCCAAAGAAATGAAACCTGCAAAGCAGGTTGGGCAAAAGGGATCCCAAAGAGGCAAAAGGGACCTCTATGTAAATCAATGGCGATAATGTCAGGTTTACCTGAGCTCCATTGAATATGTTTATGAATGAGTAGCCAAATCTTTTAATGAGTAAAATTGATATTCAGTATGAATGTAAGAAGAATTTCTGGGTAATATCAAATGAGAATTTATGAAGCTTGCACTAGTATAACTTTTATTTATGTTTTCAATATTTTGAATTTTATAATCATGCAATTAATCATGCAATTTAAATATTATTTCAAGTTGCATCACTTATGGAGTCTCATAGCTCACCAGTAGTTTATTACTGGCTGTTGTTACAGGAAAGAGAAAGGGAAAGATGGAAGAAGACTAATCTGCAAGTATTTACATTATATGTTAATGTTTATTTTATGTTTGAAATCTACTTTTGAGGTTAGTAAATAGTTTACATGTTGTACTACTTTGAGTTTGTTTGGACTTTCTTATTGGCTCTGTAAATATGTTTATTGAGGTTTTAATTTAAAAGATGCTTCCATTGATGTATAAATGGACTTATGGTTGAATGTTTTATATGAACTTCTAAAAACAAATGTTGTATTAATTGTTTTTAAAAGGATAAATGTTTATGTGATGCATGTTACACTTAATGGTATTATTTAGGGGTACATTGGGGTGTTACAATAGCCATCCAAAGAGAAAGAATGAATGATCCATGATCTCTTGCCTTCTTTCCATAAAAGGTGCACCACATCTTATCTAACCTGAGGTTTTGAACATCGAGAGACAAAAACTTCAATGATTGAAACTTCATTAGATTCACTGAAAAGCATGGGGCAATCAGGATTCAACTTACCGTGATGCCGTCACACTCAATTGTAATATATAGAGGGTGACTATACTCTATTGTCCCAAGTAAGAGATCCTCAAAGAACATATTAATTGGAGTGTTATAGGTGTTTAAAACTTCATTCATACATTGTTTAGAGAAATATACTTCATAACTCTCTGAATCTTCAGGACTTGACTTAAAATTTCTTAAAAATCCTTTGACATTGAAAGTGCTTCACAAACCCTGAGTTGTGTAGGAATTTTTGCATATATGATAATATATTGTCCACTCCTCTAGTTTGAAGTACATTTCATCAAATTATTAGAGATTATTTCTTCAATTTTGACTATATCTTTCTCCATATTTTTATTTGATAGGCCATTTTTGGTAGGGAGAGCAACACCAGCACCTCAATTGTATTTAAACGGGCACATATAATTCAAATTATGATAAAACAATTTCTCCATAATCGACCCTCATCATTTCAGAGGATAAGTTAGTATGTTTAGAATCACTACTCAACTCCATATGTTCCATGACTTCCATCTGTGAGGCCATTGTGAATTCTGACTCAGTCCTTCTGGGAAAGCATAAATCTTCCGAACTATTGTCCGTCTAAAACACCATTAGATGAGACTCAAATGTTGCCATATATGAATCTCCTCTTTTTGCTAAGGTAGATCCTTTGATGTTACTCTTGCACATCATACTTGTTGGAGCTATTGTTCCTCTACTCCTACACTGAGTTTGAAAAAGACTTCATTGAGAAACATTCGATGTCATCCAAATGACTCAACATGTTTCGATTTGGCTCTTCATTTTCTTCTCATTCTTCTTCTTCATTTACTTTATCGATTTGGAGTCCAAATATAAAATTTAAAGCTTGATAAATTATATTGCAGGTTGATTATAATCCTCGAGATTATTAATAATCTTTTGAACTATCATCTTCTTCTTCTTCTTTGATTTCTTCGATTCAGTTGGCTTTTTCTATTTGTTTGATAGGACTAAGATGGGCTGCAACGAGCTAGCTTGATCGTGTAACTTTTGATTGGTAATCTAGAAGTATACATTTTTGAACTTGGCTTTTCTTTCAACTCAAACACGGGCTCGATTGGTGACTTCCACTTGTTGTCGAGAACTTCTCCAAGTTCTTTTAACATTTTTATCACCTTTTCGAGACCACGGTCTCCCATTCTTCACTTTTTTTATTATTTTTTCTTTCATTTCTCACTTGATTGGTGGTATAAATAGGACGTAACCATCTTTATTGATACTCTCTTTGGGTTAATTAGAACATTATTTAACAACACGAACTCACCCTTCCAATATTTTCTCTCTACTGTCTTTGAAACTATAACAATCTTCAATAGGATGACTAATTAGTTGGTGATGTAGGCAATAATTAGGATTAATAGTTTAACCTCCCACTTCAAACCTTTTGCATTCTAGCAATTATATGTCCACCTTAAGCACATGATAGAATAACTTAGTCAAAGCTCAAGTTAAAGCTCAAGTTCAAGCCAAGAATTTCTCAAACTTGACTTGACTCATTTATACCTTTAGGCTAGTTTAAAAAGTGATGTGATATGCATTGTTTCATAATATAGAACTTCTAACTTGCTAGGGAAATAAATACAACACTAGGCTTAATACAACTTTGCATATTGCATATAAGCTTGTGGAGAACCTTAGTTTATCTCAAAAGATGATTCTATTTTTATAATGATTGATTATTTTTCTAAAATAATTCATTTTATTTCAAGACATAAAATTGTTGATGCAACTCGCATTATTAAATTATATTTCAATGGCGTGGATAAATCGTAGGGGATACCTAAAAACTTTGTCTAACATGGATATAAAATTCATATATTATTTTAGGAAAACTCTTTCAAAGAAAATGGAGACATAACAAAAATTTATATTTCTTATCATCCACAAAATGTTGAACAAACTATGTAAATAAAATTTAGGTGGTCTAGTATGTCCTCTTATAAAAGGCCATGAAACTTATTGGGATTAGATATTGCAAATACTTGAGTTTGCTAATAAGTAATGTGCCAATAGGTCATAGATCATGTTCAGCTTCCTATTCAGCCTATGCTTGATGAATTTAAATGACAAGAAGCAATCATCCAGTATAACCAAAATAAAATTCAAATGTAAGTTGTTCCCCACAAACGCTAGCTCAAGAACAATAGAAGAAGCTCCGCGTGATATTATGAAGTCAAACAGGGAAGGAAAAATGCTTACATTCTTATACCTTTGTGTCCAAAGGCAGCAAAATTGAGCAAAGCCTATATCTTTTGTCTTCTTTCAGAACAAGCACCATATGCGTGTCACAGAAATCAACATCCTCAAGAGAAACAGCAGGTTCCTCAAGAATTACATTCTGAGTGGTGACAATGAAAAGAATAATGATTATCCATAAGAAATAAAAACCTTTCTCATTATTGAAGTCATGGATTTAGCAGGAAAATTCTATAAGAATTATCCTAAGAATCTAGCATCAAAACACTCTTGAGCATATAAGTCATGGAAGTTATGCAAAGAATGAAAAATAGCTTATTTAACTTGCTTAAAAAACATCCTGAGGCTTTTTTCTTCTTCTCTTGAATTCTATCCTTTGGATGTGCATTGCTTGGGATTTAGATTGCATAGCAGCTAGGAGAGAGAAATTATGCAGAAAAAAAAAAGCCTTAGGATGCGTGTGCCAAAGAGTAATTCAGTGGGCAAATCATGGGATATGATATATGTGGATGGAGAAAGAGAATATAGATCATGTGGAGAGAACAAGCTGATGAATAGGGAGGAATTATTAGGGAGTGAAAGGAACCTTGATTCAAATTGAACGCATAATTAGATTAATTCAATAACAAGTAATAACTATTAATACAAATAGAATTACAATTTAAAATTAAAAATAAATTAAATCTTCAATCTATAAGTCAAATAAATCATATCATCTAATTTAATTACGATACTCGTAACAATTAAATACACTAAAGTTGAATTAAAATCCTAACATTACTTTAAAATATAGGAAAATTCTAGAGAGTGTTATAAAAACTTTTGAATGCCTTGTATTTCATCAACTCCCATGGGACAAATAGAATTATTCTTCTAAAGAATCATATAAAAGTCATTTCTTAGTTTTCATGATGCAGAGAACATTTTTTTTTTATGATGCAGAGAATATCATGCATGTGTGTAAGGGGGAGGGAAGCACAAAGAGAGAGAGCGAGGAGCAAATAGAAAAGGAATCTTGATTCAAAATGCAAGTATAATTGGATTAATTAGAAGAAGCAATAAAAACCCCTATTTATAGAAATTAAATTAAATTTAAAATTCAAACCAAATTAAAACATACATCTATAAACGTTTTTAAAAAAATTCATCAAATTAAAAAAAAAAAGATAATCCTAATAATTAAATACAATAAAACTAAAATAAAATACTAAAATTAATCTGAAAATACTAGAAATTTCTCAAAAAGACAAGAAATTTTTTTATGAGTGTCTCGCATAGCATCACATGGAAATTAATAACATGGAACAATAAGCATAAACAGCCAGAAGCACTGAAGCCAAAGATTTAAACAAACATCTGAAAGTTGATTACCTCCCAATTTCCATAACCGGACGCTTCAAGCCTAGAACAAAGTAGATAATGCGAATCAGCGGGCACAGCTCCTTTAGCAGCATTCGTAAATAGATACAAAATTTTATGATGGTGCTCAATTATACAATTAGAAAGAGGTTCACACTCCCACACTAAAGTCATGTTGTTGAGCGGTTCAGCTGCATTTATCAAGTACACCTGAAAAAGAGATTCCAAATGAGGAACAACAATGGATGAAATTGAACATAAGGTGCGTAAATTTCATGATACCTTGGAAGAAGTATTTGAAAAGATATTTACAGTAATAAACTGAAAATCCTTAGTATTTCTAATGTTAACATAAGCATTCTCATCGGACTCTTCCAGAATCAAAACATCATCTTTAGTGGACCCAAGCATGCTACAGAAGATCCTAAAGATAGCAAATATACAATTACAATAGAAATAGAAAAGTAAAAAAATTCATTGGATCATAACTTTCTGGCATACTCACCGATGTGGCCTTTTTTCATTGTTTGTAACAGTGTAAAGCAGAGCCTTTCCATTCATTGCCCATGACAAATTTGCAACTCGATTAGCCCTTGGTTTGTCGAGTAGAGTACCACTAGCTAAATCCCTCACGGATAAAGTAAAGGAGTCCTTTTCTTTGTCATACATGGTATATGCAAGGAAACGATGATCGGGAGAAACTTCAGATAGTTCTTCATAAGAGTAACCTATAAATGGATGGGGAAAAGCATGTCAGTAAATTGATTAATCATGGTGAAAAAGTAAAAGAATGCATCTTGTACTCCATAAATTAACCATAATTTTCTAAACTACGAGCATTCAAGAATAAATTCAGTAAATAAAAGCTGGGGAAAATTAAGCAAACAACAAATGAAAATGACTCAAATAGCTTTCCACTGCAAATTTGTCCAAATAATACTCGCATCTTCTGTTAAATATGTAATTCAAGCAATGGAAATAAATAGATCTTCTATAAAATAACCTTAGGAAAGTCCCTGCATAATATAATTTGCAATCGGTAATAAAAAATAGACATCCTGGAGCAATGGTTAATGACCACGAATGATTGGATTGACCATCATTGCGTGCTTCATTCAGTATAGCTTGTCTTGGACACACAGGGGAGAATCACCTAGGACAACATAATCATAAAAGTCCGCCTTAAGCAACAATTCAATAAAAAAGAGAGAGCGGAAGTGGTTGCTTAAGTATGGGGGAAGGGATCAGTTGAGGAGTAGATTTAAGAGAAGAAGCGGCTGCGTAAGTATTGATCGAAGATTGGGAAGAAGTATGCAGTGGAATAGAACTAGGAGGGCAAGATCAAGGCACAAGAGATAATGATGGTTTGATAGATGAAGCTAAGTGTACACAGGAGATAGAGAGTGGGAAAGTAGTCTTGAAAGGCAGAATGTGTTCTTGAAAGTGAGCATGGTGGACAATTATTACTTTTTCCCGTGAGAGGATTAAAATAGTGATAACCCTTATAATTTTCAAGATATCCAGTGAAAATAAAAGGAATGGAAGTGGTGGACAATTTATGCTTAACAGTGGGAGGTGAGAGAGGTTAGCAACAACAGCCGAAGACACAATGATGATTATATGTGACAGCTTGATGGAATAGTAGCTGAAATGGAGACAGGGAGTGAGTAGTTGGAGAGGGCATGAGATTTATTAAATAAATAAATGTTAAGGTAATAGACACCCAAAATTATATGGTAGCTTTTCATCTAGTAAAAGTAAAACAGTCTTAGTAGTTTCAAATATATGTCAATGTTTGCATTCAGCAACCACATTCTGCTAAGGTGTATAAAGGCAGCTGAATTGATGAGTTATATCGTGTTTGGCCGGACAAAAAAAAGTGAATGCTTTACTAGTAAATTCACCTCCACCATCAATTCTAAGAGTGAATATTGAATGACCAAGTCGTTTTTCGATTGAATATTTAAATTGATAAATATTAACAAATGTTTCAAATATATGTATCATAAGAATAACCAACAATTAAGGTTTAGGATATGTATGCAAGGGCTGTTACTTGTGTTCAAACACTACGTGGTTTAACCATTGTGTTCAAACACTACGTCGTCACAAATTTATAGTATGAGTATAAATTATTAAAAATGACCTTTCTTTATTAGATTTAGATGATGAGAATTTGACTTTTCATATAACACAATGGAGAAAAAGAATTCATGTAGCCGACCCCCTATAGTGGGATAAAAGCTTATTGTTGTTGTTATTGTACTATAAATTTGTATTTTCTTACTCTCAAGAACAGTGGTGTTCAATCTATTTATCAAGAGCTATACATCTAACGGTAGAAATAAAAGCTATTAGATATACTTGAATGGTTGAGAATTACTGTGAAGTGATTTGTTGGCTGTGGAAGAGGTAGTGCGTCATAAAAGAGGAGGAACCATAAGGAAGAATCATAACAGTTGCAACATGAGTTTAATTTTCCTTAATATGTCCAATCTAAGGTCTTGGCTTCGTGGCCACAAAGGAGCCATTACATTAACTAGTAGTGCATTACCCATAGTAAAATATTTGAAATCATATTGAATCAAGCTATTCAGATTTTATTTGACTGTTGTGATAGGTATCAATCAGATTCTTGTAAATTTACTAAAATGCTATTGCCAAAAAGCATGAATGCTTGCTCAGCAACGGACTTATTATTCACTTCTTATTTCGTACTACAGACAAACAATGCGCACTAAGGCGCGCAGAAAATCGTTTGGCTGGATTTAGGTTAAATCCTGCTTAAATCTGATACCAAATCAGATACCAAACAGACCTAAAAGTAAGACAAGTTCGTATTCAAAGAAACATTTTCAGCTGTCTTACCTCCAAATCGCTCAGATTCAGCGTTATAATCGAGCAGCTTCTGCTCAATTCTCTTGCCGGCAGTTAAGTCGAAGCCGACAGATGGCGCATTGTAGGAAATGAACTCCTCCTGCAAGCTAGCTTTACGTCGGCAGAGCACCGGAAATGGCTTCCCCTCCTCCACGCGGCGGTAGTAAAGCCACGGTCCCCAGCGAACGGGCGGTGAGCAGAGATCAGAGGACATTCGAGGAGCCATCTCGATCTGGAGCTTGCGCTGAAGGCGGTCGGCATCGGCGGCGATCATCACCGCCTCGGCGTACTTCTCCTCTTGCCCCATGTACACGTCCATGTGGCGCATCGAGACACTGTCGGAGAGATTCGACATCCAGCTGTAAGGGTCGTGCCAGGTGAAGCCGTGCATGGTGAAGGGTACCGGTTTCTGCGGCGGCCGTGGAGGGGCCGGCGGCGGAGATGGAGGTCCAGAGTGAGGTTTTACCAAGGTAGCGCCGGCCACCGCTCGCCGGTGGGCAAATCTGCGGCCAGAAGGGCCACTCGCGCTAAGAAATGCACGCAAGAGAAGCATGACGAGGTTGGAAGGACCGAAGTGTTAGGGGTTTCTCTCTAGGGAGGGTTTTTGGTGCCATGGGTTTTCTGAATTTTTAAAAGCTCTTTTAAATTTATATTGTATTAATATTTAATAGTGCAATTTGTATAAATATGTATGTGCAAATTGTATAAATATGTATGTTATTTAATTCTTTTATATAAATATATGTTTGAATGTTCACTTCATATCAAATTACAAATAATAAGGTACAATCCACACTATTTTTTGAAGTTAAAGCATATAGAATAGAATCAAATATGTTTCTATCATTGATAGATCTTGATTTAAATATAGATAATTTGTGATTCTAATATAGTATGAAGATAGTATGATAATTATTTAACTATGAATCAATGATTATTTGATGAAGCTCGATCATTTTATGAACATTACTATAACTCAGATTGAGTCATTAAAGGGTACAAATTATGATATTACAGAGGGCTTATCTCTTAACAAAAGCAACAACAATAACACATTGTGCAAATTACAATAAGTAAAATATTATAATTGATGTAATGTAGTATCATAATGTGAGAAACCAGCACAACATCCATAACAAAGAGAGTTGTGATGATAAAGTGGGTTATAAGTAGAGTTGCAAACGAGTCATACCAAGATGCGCAGGTGCTTGTTTATATTTGAGCACTTTTATTATCAACATGTTCAAGCATGATTCAAACTCGATTCGAGCTTTTCTGTTTATTTTCAAGTTTGATTCTTCTAAATGATTCATGTTCATATTTGGTTTGTGTTCAATTTATATTCAATTTGTTTCAAGGTTCATTTTAGAAATTTGAAGTAAATTCATGAAACCGTTAACAATATCTACAACTTATACAGAGTTATGTTAATCTAAGTAATAAGTAAACACAAAGAATGACTATTTATATCAAAATATTAATTAAATATATGGCTTTGCATTAATGTGGAATAAAGTTGTTTATAAATAGTCTCTAAAGAATTGTAAATGATTATGTGTAAATTTTAGAAGATTTTTCCTTAAGATCAAGCATATTGTGTGTAATATTGCATACACTCCACAATAACTATTATTAAGATATAGGGCAATCATTAAATTGTATGTGCGATGACTACTTAACAAAGTTATGTTTTCTTGAAATTTTACAAGGATAAACTTACTATAGCACTTAGAACATCATATGTGGTAGCAGGAGAATATTTTATCTTTTATCAAAACCCTTATCTACTAAAGCAACTTAAAAAGTAATTCTTAGATGGATTCATCATTTCATGTAAGGTCTATAGTGAGGTGTAAAAAGAGTTATAGTCATACAACATCATGAATATCATTAAACGTGAAATCTCACATATAAACTAATAACTTTTTTTTACTTTGTTAGAAATATAAAAGTTTCATCAACACATGACATACAAAACTGATCCTCTCTAATGGCATACGTGAGTGCCAAATTAGCCACTTAAAGAAGTCCTTACTCATGAACTTTTAAAACATAATTATATCATTATCATATAATTTTGGGTACTATCAAATTTGCTCTTTTATTAAAAGATCAATATGTTGTAAAAAATTAAAATTAGTATAAGTATTGATCAAATTTTAGAACTATACTTTCAAAAAATAAAAGATTTATTACATTGCTACCCAACCATATAGTTGGAACATTCAACTGTTTTAACAACATTACGGTTCTGCTGCTCACCCTTATCTTTTTCTCCCTTAGGTTGTCAATCTGTCTTGATATCTAAGATTTGCAAGAGGGCAATTGCTCATTTTCAATAGGGGAAGGGGATAAATGACACATTGATCCATTAGCATATATATTTTTCTTTATGAATTTATGAAATCCCCAATCAGATACTTCTCATTTTTTTGTGATGTTATTTTTAAACTTTATACAATATATGTCACTCATTCCTATAATTATAACAAATGGATTATATATATAATGAAAAGGGGTTGATCACTTAACTCAATGCCCTTCTTAGTTGTATATACAATATAAATTGGCTAATCTTCTAACTCTTCTCTACCATTATATAAAAATATAATGTTAAGAGGTTAATCCTCTAAATCCACCATCTTATTTCTATATATAAGAGCAAGGGGCTGGCCACTTAACTCATGCAACTCCTCAAAACACTTGTTCCACATCCTTCTCATGATACACCTCATCTCTAACCTCAGCAAGGTCAAAGATAAAGTTAATGGCGTAACAACCCTTATTATTATTTTCCTTAGACTAGGTCAATCTACCCAATCAAACTCACCTTAATAAATTCCCATCACCCCAATTCTATTTATTGGGATCATATCAAAACCCTTAGGACATCAATTTATTAAAAGATACTGAGAGAGAGTAGTGTGCACAAGCCCAAGAAAACACACAAGTGTGTTAGTTCTTAGTGCAAGAAAGATAGCCCCCAATCTTGTACTTGATGATTTTGGCTAGGTCTTTTGATCGGATATTAAGGGAAGTGCAAAGGAATGAAATGTCTATTTTTCTTTTCCTCTTATTATTCTCCTTTTTCTCCTCATATTATCATCCCCTCCATCTTAATATACTTAAGTAATATAAATGCTAACCCTAAAAATTTTATCATTTATTATTATTTATTCTAAGTAAATATAAATTAATTTTATTCAATAATTAATTGAGAGTTCATGAAATTCTAGAAAAAATTAAACTTGAATCAATGTTAATGTTTGAGTGATATTGTTTAATATATTTAACCATGGGGTCTGAGATTTTAAACCCAATATTGTTATAATTGTAATGTATGCTTTTGATTAAAATGAGTCTTCATTGCATTTGCAAAGTGTGCACATATTCTTCTTTATTTACTTATGTGCTTGTAAAATGGTGGCATGCTTTTTGGACTAGTTTTACATTTATCGACGTAATTACATGCTTCTCACTATAGTTACATGTTTTCTAAATAGTTATAAACTTTTCAAGGCATCAATGCACTTTTGGAGCATCAACATGTTTTTCAAAGCAACAAAAAAAAACTTTTTCTCAACAATACAACACAACGTGCAGCAAAAAAAAACTTTAAAACAATAATATAACTTTAGAGCAAAAAGTGCTAAAAATATTTCTTTTGTTTTTATTTTGAAAGAAATAAAATTACATGAGATATTAATTTTGATTAATAAAAAGCTTATGAAAATGTTGTTTTTGATAAATATTTCTTGAATGTAATCTCAATAGTTTAATAACACAATTCTAGATAATTAAATTTGAAAGAAACGAAGAATTAAAAAGTTAAAATAAAATCAAAACTAAGATTTTTTCAGTGATTCGGTCAATCTTAGCTTACGTCAACTCCCCAAAAGTCCTATTCTTTAAAAATTCTACTAGTAAATGCTCCTTCTACACTCAACAAGGCGAAAGAGACATTCTCCATTTCAAGGTGGAGAATGACCTTCTCTTCCTCCCAAAAAGCCTAAACACGTAATGTCACACCACATAATTTAATTTGAAAATAATTATTTTTTATCTTTTAATAATAATAATCACAGTTATTTAATTAATAAAATATCAGTAGAAATAAATATATTGATCAAAATATTAATATACATATGTTTTCATTACTCAAAGATCCTATATATTTGACAGGAGTTATATAAATACAATATAATGCTTGCCATTCTTGTGCTCAAAATAATAACTAAAAAAAAAATGACAATGAAACTTGAAGGATCCTATATATGATCAGCCTTACACTCCCAAATTTCTTCCATGATATGAAATCATTAAACAACCTGTATTGAGCTTGTAAAGCCCAACAGGTCAGTAGAAGCCTACTACCAAACTCAAAGCGTGAAAAAAGAAATAATATGCTTGAAATCTCTTCAGTTCATAACCTACTACCAAACTCAAAGCGTGAAAAAAGAAATAATATGCTTGAAATCTCTTCAGTTCATAACGGTAGCAATCAATATGATCATACCTATTATCATCCAATCTCCTAAAATATTAGAGTGTAGAGTACGTACCCAGATTTGGAGTTCAACATAATTGGATGAAAAAGGTATCTCTTAGACATTACCCTACTAGAACACTCGAGTACTAATTTAATAAGGCACAATCTAGTTTTTATGCATATTTATAAAAATGTATTTGATAACATTTTCAACACGGTGATGGATGTAAAAGACAAAACAAAAGATAATTTGAAGGCAAAAATAGATCTTAGATAGTATTGCAGGAGATTTTTTTTTAACTAAGACTGAGTGCTAATGAAAAAATATTGAGGCCTAAAGTTTCTTTTTCATTCACATTAGAATAAAGAAGAGTAATGTGTCAGTGTGTCCATTATCCACATCTTATATGCACTTTCATGTGCAAGTTATTTATAAGTTCACTGCTTATAATAGATATGAAAGTTACTCAGAGAATAATTGCTAATGAATTCCCAATATGATTCATAACATATGTACGCCCATATAATCTTATGATATATATCAATTTTCCACAATTTAAAATATTTTTTTTATTAGTTTAGGTTCATAGTCCTTTCAATATAATGAGGGTTAATGGGTTGCATGAACTTACATGGGAATCGATGATAATTATCAAAATGTGGTTGATTTTTCTTGTCAATAGTTTTAGGTTTCACATCAAGTCATAGAGCGAGGGAAGAAAAACTAAAAAATATGGTGTATGTGTTAGAGAGAGTACTCATGCTGAAAGTGAAGTGACTAATTTGATATTTTAAAGAAGATTATTCAATTATAATATACAGGTAAATAAGATAATAACATATTTGTATTCAATTATGAGTGTTATGAACTAGTTCAAAATAAAGGCACAAGGGTGCATCCTTTATATGATATAACAACAGTCACGCATATTAGGAGATATGCTAAATTTGATCATTTATCATAGCACACCATGCAAGTCAAGTTTATTATGCCAGACAATATCCCACTAAATTTAGAGATAAACATGCTTGGTTAGTTCTAATAAAGCCCAAACCTCAAGGTTCTGTACAACAACATAATGTGATGC